GGGGTTCATGCTGTCTTTTTAAAGCACATGTAATAGAAGAAAACATGACTTTAAAATATAGAAAGGGTCAAGGACTAATTGTAAGAGAAAGACTTGGAGGGGGTAGGGAAAGAGTACTCACATATATACATGTTGGCTATAACGCTAAAATGTGGTCTTTTATAGTTCGCATGAGGGTTTCGCTGATACGTGGATGGTGAGAAGGTGGCAGAGAGGGGAGAGAGGGCCGAGAGATGAGAAGAAAAACAGGATACACGTACTTGAATTATTTTGCAAGTTATGGCAAAAAAAGAATTGGCGGGGGAGTAAGACAATGAGGAGGAATACACGTTTGTTTGTTTTGGTACACCTGATGAGATTTTTTTTAAATAACAATTTATTAACTTTGAAGGACATTTTTTCGCTGTGGTTGGTAGGCTGTTGTTTTTTTAATTTATTGAATTCAGCTACAGATGAGGAGGAGGAGGAGGAGGAGGAGGAGGAGGAGGAAAAGGATGTTTTTCCTTAATGGGCCTGGTGGACTCCACGAAGAAATCTTTGAGCGAGAGCGAGGCTCTTTTTCGGCTCCATTGTCATTATACTCAGAGGCACCTCCACTCGTCCAAGTAGCTCCATTCGAATTGCCATTTGTTCCTGGACCTTCAAACATCTGTTTGAAATCCTCCTTTTCGTAGTTGCATCTTCGGCAACGTGGGTTGCGCTCTTCATTCACAAAGTTCTGATACCATCGCATGATCCAATGATGGTCCGACAGCAGTCTCGCTAGCTCATCCTGGTCCCAGCAACATGTGATAAATTGTTCCTGTTTATCGGAGTACCTAGAATACACATAGTCCATGTGCTGGTACTCATGGCTCTGCATGGTGGATCTCTGATTCCTCTCTTGATCATTGGAAAGACTCCCCTGTGTGTTATTGGTCGTCTGTCTCCTTCAATCTCTCTGGCTTCATTACAGCTTGGTCTGCTGCCTCCTTTCCTTCGATTCCAATATGGCTTGGAATTCACTGGATATTTGTTGTGGCTGTGGCTTCACTGAACTTGCGGCGCAAATAATTTATATCTGAGCTGTTGCCTAGCAGTCTCTTGAAGAGGGACTGACTGTCAGTCAAGATTAGCACATTTGGTTCTACTGTGACAATTGTCAACAGTCCATTGTGCAGTAGACGTCATTGCCTGGCATTTCTCGTCATAAGATGATGACAGGAATGCACCTTTAGTTCTAATGATTCTGTTCGTGGCGGTTCATCATTTATTATCACTACTGCTGCTGCTCCACCTTCGCGGTATCTTGCGACAGCCGATCCCTCAGTGAAATTTGTCACCTCGGCACCAACCTCCTTGATTACATCCTCTGCAGTTTCACGTGCCTTTGCAGGATCATCACCTTTGCTCTTCACTCCTCTCGATTCTGTCCGGATTTCGATTTCGCCATGGGTCTCCCATAGACAAACTCTAACCAGATAGATTAGCCTTCGATTCTCTGCTTCAGGGGGAGGTTGTCTGATAGGACGTGCCTATCCGAAACCAGCTTTTCCTGCTGTTTTCAGGCTTGACTGCTTGATCAAGGGCTTTCTTTCTTGAATAGCTGTCTAGCAATCGTTTAGCCATCTCTACAGACTTTAGGCATGTTCTTTTTGTACAGGTGGTGTAGTGCTCGGTTCTGGTCTTATAGCCCAGTGCTTATGTTGGTGTTGTTTTCAGCTGACCTGATACAAGACGGATGGCTTTGTTTTATATTCTGTCCAGGGTCATTGCAGTGGTCTCACTCAGCCAAGGCTGCCACGCTGCGGCAGCATAATCCATCTTGCTCTTCACAAACATGTGATGTACCTTCTTGAGCGACTCCTTACCCCAGCCCCATTTTGAGTTGCTGACAGCACCGATCATCTTCATTTTTTGAGGTTGCACTTTTGGACGCTTCCTTGATGTGCTTTTTGAAGGTTAGCTGACTATCCAGATAGACGCCCAGCAGGCGTGGAGCGAGGTTGAATGGTGTCTTCTTCCCTTCGATCTGAATTACTAGTTGCCACGTTGCCTCCTTCACCCATGTTGAAAAGCACACCTCACTCTCGGTTGCTTTCAAAATAAGTTTTCATTCATTGTTCCATTTCACAACCTTGTCCACAATCAACTGCGTCGCTTCATTTGGAGTAGTCCAGCAGGACTAGGATTGATCTATGGAATGTTGACTTTTGCTGAAAACCATCCTCGATTCCTTGACAGATTCTGATGATCTGGTCGGTGCAGCTATGACCTTGGTGAAAGCCTGTCTGAATATCTGCAATCCACTCATTCTTCTCTGACAGGTAGTAAATTCTTTCAGCATGCATCCTTCCTACAACTTTCAGGATACAGGATGTCAAACTAATGGATTTAAAGGGTGTCATATCACTTGGTGACTTGCAAGTTTTCAAGAGAGATAAGTGCCATACGTCAGCCTTGTGGACACGCCGCTTGGTTAAGCGACAGGTTACATATGCTGAGCAATTCTTTCAAGGCAAGTGGGCCAAGCTCTTTTAGGAAAGATGGTGGTATTTCATCAGGTCCTGGAGCACTTCTTCTCTTCATTTGTGTTATTGATGCCTATCTATGTGTTATGATGATGATGATGATGATGATGATGATGATGATGATGATGATGATGATGATGATGATGATGATGATGGTGCCTTTCACCCACTTAGTCACTTCCGTCTAGCCTGTAACCACACGTAACCCTAAGACCCCCTTTGTTAGGCCCATTTCCCTGCTAATATACAGCGCTCGTTTAGTTTTTCTCTCAGTTGCTCCTGAGGAAGCCCACAGGGCGAAACGTTGAGCTATTAAATAAATTTAAACATTTTAT